TAAAAAATTGGTTAAATACCGGTTCGCTGACGTCACAAGACGTTCGCGAATGTTCGAGAAGCTATTCCTCTGTTTGAATACGTCGTGACGTCCCGATTCGCGACGTCACAATGTGAATCCTTAATTTATCAATGTATTATTAGCAACTAAAATGTTTATATAAATCTTTTTAGACATTGTTTGTAAAATTTTTTAATTTGTAAACATTATAATTTTTCATTAATGAATTTTTCCATTTTTTTTTTCATTTAACGATTTTTCAGTTATTCGATTTGCAATTTTTTGGTCTTGCCATATGTCGATTTTTCAGTTTTGTTTCAAAATTTAATTTTTATAAAATAATATCAATTTTTCTTTTTGTTGAAAAGCTGAGAAAATAAAAAATTAAAAATTAAGAACTTGAAATATTAAAACTTAGGAACATTAAAAAAAAATCGAACAATCGCAAAGCAACTTGTAAGGTCGAGAAACTAAAAAATAGAAAAATTAAAAAAAATCCAAAAATTGAAAAATTGTAAATTGAAAACTGGAAAAATGAAAAACTGTAATATCAAAAAACGGCAAAACGGAAAAGCTTCAAATCGAAAAATTAAAAACTGAGAAACGGAAAAATCGAAAAATTGAAAAGGTGAAGAATTAAAATGTTCAAAAAATTGAAAAATAGGACATGAACTGAAGAGATTTGATTTGAACTGACCTGATTTGAGCTGACCTAACCTGATCTGACTTGAGCTGACCTGAATTGAACTGACCTTACTGAGCCGACCTGATTTGAACTGAACTGATTTATTTATATTTTAAAAGTTGTTTATTTAAAACATTTTTCTCTTTGAAATTTTTCCATGTTAAAAGTTTTTAATTTGTAGACCTTTTAGTTTTTAATTATTGAATTTTTCGATTTTTCAGCTTCCCAGTTTTTAAATTTTAAAATAAAAAAATTGAAAAAAGGAAAAATTGCAAAGCTAGTTGTAAGATCTAGAAAATGAAAAATAGAAAACATTTTAATTTTTTATTATCGAATTTTACGATTTTTCAGCTTCCCAATTTTTAATTTTACGATTTTATAATTTTTGAATTGAAAATTGAAGAATCAAAAAAAAAAGAATTCCAACATCAAAAATCCAAAAATTAAAAATCGAGGCCTGAAAATTCGAACTATTGAAAAATTGGAAAAATAACAAATTAAAAAAACACCATTTGGAAAATTGAAAAATTCCAAAGTTGAAATCTCGAAAATCGCAAAATTTTGAAGCTAAAGCTCGAAAAATTGAAAAATTGGTAAACGAAAATCGAAAAAACGACAAATTCTAGTATCCAAATTTTCGCAAGATCATAAAATTAAAAATCGGGAAACTCAAAAATCTAAAAATTGAAAATATGAAAATTGAATAATAGAAAAATAGTATAATCGAAATATTGCAAATCGAAGCACTGACCTGACTCGAACTGACCCGACTTGACCTGAATTAACGACCGACACGAAAAACTGTCCTTTACTTAAATTGGGCTGATCTGATTTCAACTGACTTGACTTTGAGATAATCTGACTCGAATTAATTAATCTTAATTAATTACATCCCCATCATTGAAACTTCTCAGAAATGACGATGGAGAGCTGAAAATGCTCACTTGCCAGCAGAAACCAAAAACCAAAAATCCGGAAAACCGGAAACTAGAAAATCTAAAAGTCGAAATATGAAAATTAGAAAACCGAAAATCAAAAATTTCGAAAATTGACAATTTCAAAAATCGTAAATACGTAATATCGGAAAATCAAAAGTCAAAATCGATGAATCAAATATTAGAAAAATCCAAAACTGAAAAATCGAAAAATCCAAATTTTGAAATATCGAAAATTCAAAAAATTGAAAATTTGATGAAACAGAAATTTGAAAAATCAAGAAATTGAAAGAACGAGAAGAACAAAAATTGAAAATTCATATTTCGAAAAATGAACACATTGAAAATTGGATAATCGAAAAACCGAAAATCGGAAAATCCTACTCTATCTACATTTTAAGCAAATTATATTCAAAAATTTTATTTTTTTATTCCCTTGTAAATGTACGAAAAAGGACTTTCGGTAATTTTCTAAAAGTCAAAAAGCTCATAAAGATATTGATAAATTGAGATTTTTCGAAAAGTTTTGATTTTTCAAATTTTGAATTTTTAGATTTTTTTAATTTATTTTCCGAATTTATGGTTTTTCCTTCCTTCAAATATTGGTACATCGATTTTTCGATTTTATGATATTCGAATATGCTTTGTTTATTTTTCGGTTTCTAGATTTTTCAATTTTTCAAATTTTATTATACATTTGATTATCTGAATTTGCTATTTTTCAATTTTTCAATTATTCAATTATACGATTTTTTTATTTTAGATACCTACTTCTAATTTGCAATTTCTCGATTTTTCTGTTTTCGATTTTTCGAATATTTGATTCATCGATTTCGATTTTTGAGTTTTCGATAGTTCGCATCTACAATTTTTGAGATTTTTTATTTTCGAAATTTCGGATTTTCGATTTTTCCATTTTTTGAATTTTCCATTATCGAAAATTTAATGAACCAATATTTGGAGAAACGAAAAACAGAAAATCCGTAAAACCGAAAAATAGAACATCTAAAATCCAAAGTCGGAAAACAGAAAGATCAAAAATTAGAAAATCGGGATTTAGAAAAATCAAAATTCCGAGAATCGAAATATACAACAAAGGAAATACCGAACATCGAAAAGTTGAAAAATTGAAAAATCCGGGAAACGAAATTAAATAAACTGAAAATTCGAAAATACGAAATTTCGAAAACTGAAAATTTCAAATATCCTAAATACGAAATATCGAAAAATCAAAAGTTGAAATCAATGACTCAAACATTAGAAAAATCGAAAATTGAAAAATCCAGAACTTGCAAATTAGAAATATCTAAAATTTGAAAAATCGAAAAACTCAATAATGGAAAAATTGAAAAATCGAAAATTCAAAAAACCCAAAAATAGATAATAAAAGTTGAGAAAACGAGAAGGAAACAAATTGACTGTAGAAAAAGCTAAACTCCACCCCGCCCACATTCTTTCTCCATTTCAGTGACTTATTTTGTTTTTTGAAAATTTTTCTAAAAAAATTGTGTGGGATAATTCTTCAGCTTCCTCAATAGTTTTCTCGTATATTATTGTTAATCGTAAATTAATTAAAGCTTATAAATTGCTTGCTTATAAAGAACTATAGGAAAAAATTAAACTTAGCCCCACTCACCTGTTCTCGCATTTTTTTTTTTGAAATAGGAAGTAAATCTTATAGCAAATAGAAAAAAAAGTTAAAATTGTTGGTTTTTATTTAGAAGTATTTTTTTTAATTTTTTACAACCTCGGTTCTATTCTATTCACCCACTCCTTCTCTGTTTCACTGAATACTTTTATCTGCTCTGAATGAAAGGTGCAGATTTGAAAAATAAAATTTCGGGAACTTGAAAAATTTTGAATCAAAAAAAATTCAAGATATGGAAAATCTAAAAACTGCAAAGCAACTTGTAAAATCGAGAAACTGAAAAATAGAAAAATTGAAAAAATAAAAAATATCCAAAAATTGTAAATCGAAAATTGAAAAAGTGAAAAATTGTAATAGCAAAAAACTGTAAGATCAATAGTTTCAAAAAACTAGAAACGTGAAAAATTAAAATGTCCTAAAATAGAAAAATCGAAAAATTCTATAATCGAAACACTGAAATGAACTGATTGACATGAACTGAACTGACTGAGCTAACGTCACTTAAAATGACCTGACTTGAACTAACTACAACTCAATGAACTAGGTTGAACTAACTTGACTTGAACTTACTCAATTTTCCGAACAGTTTTTCGATTTCTTTTTAACGTTTCCGATTTAAAAATTTTGTCGAATCCCAATTTTTCGAGTTTTCAATTTTAATTTTTTTAATTTTTCCATGTTTTTTTTAATTTTTATACATTTTAATTTTTCGTGGTTCAATCTTTCAATTTTTCAGTTTCCCGATTTTCAATTTTTTGATTTGGAATTTTCGATTTTTGTCCCTTAATATTTAATTTCTCTATTTTTCAGTTTTTTGTTTCAAAATTGCAGCTTTAATAAATTTGTTTTTCTTTATGTTGAAAAGCTGAGAAAATGAAAAAATAAAAATTTGAAAAATAAAATTTCAGAAACGTGAAAATTTTTAAATAAAAAAAAATTGAAGAAAGGAAAAATCGAAAAATTGCGAAGCAACTTATAATATCGGGAAATTGAAAAATAGAACAATTGACAAAATAAAAATTGAAAAATTGTAAATCGAAAACTGAAGGAATGAAAAATCGTAAGATCGAAAAACTTCAAATCGAAAATTAAAAATTGAGAAACTGAAAAATCGACAAATTGTAAACGCGAAAAATTAAAACAGCGCAAAATAAAAAATTATTAAATTGTTTTTGTAGTTGAAAAAACCAACGCAATCATGGTAGAGACCAGAGGTGGTTTCGTTAAAATATACAACGTCATTACAGTCAGAAAATAATACTCTATTTGCCGTTAAAAATAATCATTTTGAACAACAGAGTCATAAAGAATTTCGTTTGTCCCGGAACATTTATTTATATTTACACTCGAAATTGCCAACGAAAAAAAAAATTTTTAATTTCTCCTAAATAAATTTTTACACTGAAATTAATTTCCGCGTAGTAACTTTCCTCCACACTTCATTTAAACTGCGTGATTACAAAAAAAAATAAGTGTTTCTTGGATTTAATTAATAGAAAAAAAAATAACAAGTGCGGACTGATTCAGCAGATTATTAAACCTGATTTGACCTTGATTGATTCTTACATAACAGTATTTTTTTCCGAAACTGTTTAGTAGTTAAATCATCGCAGCACTCTTGGTTATTTAAATGCTAATAAACAAAGAAATTTTATTTTAATAAAAAGGATAAGCGTTGCAAAATAATAAAAAATAATCTAAAAACTAGTCTTTATTAAACCCTATAATAAGAACAGCCTTTAAAAAAGCACAACATCTTTTGGCACGTTTTTCTGGAGGCACTGCAGCCCCTCGAATGCCGTATTCTCCGGGGTGTCTTTCTGCACCAGACACAACTTCACGACCTTCTCCACCTCCTCCGCACTCTTGATCTGACTCGTCAGTTTCTCCTTGATGACATCAACTTGAATTTCTCCTTTCTCGTTCTGCATGTGAATTTTCTTCGAGAAACACAGCGCATGCACTTTCAGTTTGGGATCATCCAAGAACACCCCTTTCTCTGCCTCCTTCAGCACCGCCTCCTCCACCTTGGAGACCTCAAGACACTCCTTGGAGTACTCCTCCAGCCGCTTCTTCTGCTCTTCGCTCAACCCCTATTTAACAAAAATTCAAACCAAAACCCAGATTTTCTAGTCGGACTCACCTCGATGGCCACCGCCAGCCCCAAAACGCACAAAGCGACTCCCAGTTTCATCTTGCTCTTGGATCTACTCTCCCCATGCCATCGTCAAACTTATATAGCAAAATTTTGCCGAAAAAAACCCGATTTCACCGTTATTTTTTTGCGTCTTTGCACACACGAACAATTAATAGATGTCGAGTATTTGCGATTAACTGCACAGAAAGACGTTTGTAGCTGCGGGGAACGTTCGTGGACGACTTTGAACCGATGAAGAGAAAGCCAGATTTTGATTGACGGCTGAAATTGGGCGGTTTCGGTGAAAAATGAATGCGGAAATTCATCATCGGTGTAAAAAATTGAACGAAAAATGAGCTTCGTTTAATTCCAGAAGAACTAGTGCTGTGTAGAATTTTACAAAAAAAAAGGGTATTAATAGTCTGGTATAAGATTTCCTGAAATTTAATTTTCACATAAATCCGGGCTGCAAGAATGCGTAATTACGGTTGGACGCACAGTATAATTAACAGACGCTTCACAACAAAGCAGCGAGTGTATTAATAAATGTCACGTCGATGTAGGCGTTGACTTGTGCCGCCTTGTCGCAACATGAATTATAATCAGATTGGCAGTGACGTCAGTTGTAAGGGATAATTAAGGTCGCTTTGAAGATGAGCGGCAAATTTGATACATTTTTGCTTCGGATGAAATGTTTCTGAGTAAATAATTCAAGCGAAAACCTTCGATCGAAGGTCGAGTTCACCCGATAAAAATCACAGCCCTCTATTAAAGCACTTTCCGCCGCAATTTATACCCTAATAAAAATTTATGATGTCATCAGACAAAAACGAGCGCATTTTTGATCATCAACAGGTCTTATCTCGGGAGACTTTTCCGGCTTTTCGCCACGGAAACTATAAAAAGTATAGCCTGAACTAAAATCTCAACAAGTATACACGGGTCGTTGTTTTAGAAGGTTTTCGGCTTTCTGATAACGAAAAATGTTTTTGACGCAGAAATAGAAAAATCTTCAAGTAATTGTGAAAGCCCGTGGGCTTTGTTCGCTATTTACATTAATAAGATAAGTTAAATTAATCTCACTGCTGTAAATAAGAAATTTTGGACAACTCCCTATAGTATCACGCAGAATTAACGTTACATCGAGTGATTCATTGCAGCCAACTGCAGTGACAACAATTTAATTATTTTATTTTCAATTATTGACGATGATTTTGTATATTAAGTGTGAAAACTCATTATTTATGATTACAGATTTAAATTGAAAAAAGTATAATATAATTAAACGGCTGTGAATAAATTACTAGGTGTAATTATTTATAATAGATCCTAATTAAATATAAATAATTAAAATTCACCCTGTTAATTTGAAGAAAAAAATCAAACCGAACGTTTTTAAACTTAACACCAGGAGCATAAAACGCTGTTTTTTGAAATTAATACGACGAAATCGAATTAAGCATACCACAATTTTTTGGGAATTTTTTTAATGAAAATTTTATCCAGTTTCCGAAAATTTTTAGAATTTAACTAAAAACATTTTCTTATAGATTTTGACCTACAGAAGTTAGTTTAAACTTTATCTCTTCGATAGCTTCTACCATTTTTTCAAAATCGCCCACTGAGTAATTATTGCAAATTTTTTGGAATAAAAAAAAAATTTTTTCAAATCGAATATTTTTAAATCTTGCACCGGGATCACAAAAACACTGTATTTTTGGAATCAGCACGATGAGACTTATATACCAGAATTTTTTCGAAATTTATTGTCAACGTTTTCAAAAATAAAATTTTTCAAAGTGAAAATTTCGACCAATTTTTGATAGTTTTCGAAATTGAAGTAAAGACATTTTGTTATCGATTTCGACCTCCACTGAATTGTGATTTTTTAGTTTAAATAATTGCGATTTTTGAATAAAAAAAAAAAATTTTCAAATCGAATATTTTTTAATCTTGCACCGGAATCATAAAAACGATAAATTTTTGGAGTTAGCACGACAAAATTTGTATACCAAAATTTTTTGGAAATTTATTGGCAACTTTCTCAAAAACAAAATGTTTCAAAATGAAAATTTCGATCAATTTTTGATGATTTTCGAAATTTGACCAAAGATGTTTTGTTATCGGTTTCGACGTCCAGAAGTTAGTTTAAACCCCATTGTTTCGATAACTCCTACCATTTTTCCAGAATCGCCCACTGAATTATTGTAATTTTTTTAATTAAAAAAAAATATGTTTTCCAACCAAATATTTTTAAAACATGGACCGAGGGCATGAATCCACTATGTTTTTGGAATAAGTATGACGAAATCTACGTACCAGAATTTTTTGGGAACTTTTTTGACAACTTTTTCAAAACCAAAATTTTTCAAATGAAAATAAAAATTTCATCCAAGTTTTGAAAATTTTCAGAATTTAACTAAAAACATTTTCTTATAGATTTCGACCTCCAGAAGTTAGTTTAGAATTTATTTCTTCGATAGCTCCTACCATTTTTCCAAACTCGCCGACTAAATCATTATTATTGCAATTTTTGGATTAAAGAAAATATATTTTCAAAACGAATATTTTTAATTCTTGCACCGGGATCATAAAAATGCTATATTTTTGGAGTCAGAACGATGAAATTTGTACACCTGAATTTTTTGGAAATTTATTGGCAACTTTCTCAAAAACAAAATTTTTCAGATGAAAATGAAAATTTCGACCAATTTTCTAAATTTAACCACAAACATTTTGTTAACAATTTCGACTTCCAGAAGTTGGTTTAAACCTCATTTTTTCGACAACTCCTACCATTTTTCCAGAATCTACATTATTATGCAATTTTTTTAATTAAACAAATATAATTTTTCAAACCGAATTTTTATGAAACTTGGACCGGGAGCGTAAATCCGCTATGTTTTTGGAAAAAGTACGACGAAATTTATATACTAGACTTTTTTGGGAATTTTTTGTCAACTTTTTCAAAAGCAAAATTTTTCAATTGAAAATGAAAATTTCGGCCGATTTTTGACAATTTTCGAAATTTAACTAAACACATTTTCTAGTCGCTTTCAACCTCCAAAAATTAGTTTAGACCTCATTTCTGCCATAGCTCCTACCATTTTTCCAGAATCGTCCACTGAATAATTATTGCAATTTTTGAATTAAAAAAAAAATATATTTTCAAAACGAATATTTGTGAATCTTGCACCGGAATCATAAAAACGATATATTTTTGGAGTGAGCACGACGAAATTTGTATACCAGAATTTTCTGGAAATTTTTTGCCAACTTTTTCAAAAACAAAATTTTTCAAAATGAAAACTTCCATCAATTTTTGATAATTTTCGAAATTCGACTAAAGACGTTTTGTTATCGATTTCGACCTCCAGAAGTTAGTTTAAAACCCATTTCTTCGATACCATTTTTCCAGAATTGCTCACTGAATTATTGCAATTTTTTTAATTAAAAAAATATATAAACTGGAAAATTCCAACCAAATATTTTTACAACATGGACCGAGGGCATGAATCCACTATGTTTTTGGAATAAGTACGACGAAATCTATGTACCAGAATTTTTTGGGATTTTTTTGACAACTTTTTCAAAACCAAAATTTTTCAAATGAAAATAAAAATTTCATCCAATTTTTGAAAATTTTCAGAATTTAACTAAAAACATTTTCTCATAGATTTCGACCTCCAGAACTTTGTTTAGACTTTATTTCTTCCATAACTCCTACCATTTTTCCAAACTCGCCGACTGAATCATTATTATTGCAATTTTTGGATTAAAAAAAATATATTTTCAAAACGAATATTTTTTAATCTTGCACCGGAATCATAAAAACACTATATTTTTAGAGTCAGCACGATGAAATTCGTATACTAGAATTTTTTGGAAATTTATTGCCAACTTTTTCAAAAACAAAATTTTTCAAAAACAAAATTTTTCAAAATGAAAATTTCGATCAATTTTTGATGATTTTTGAAATTTGACCAAAGACGTTTTGTTATCGATTTCGACCTCCAGAAGTCAGTTTAAAACCCATTTCTTCGATACCATTTTTCCAGAATTGCTCACTGAATTATTGCAATTTTTTTAATTAAAAAAATATATAAACTGGAAAATTCCAACCAAATATTTTTACAACATGGACCGAGGGCATGAATCCACTATGTTTTTGGAATAAGTACGACGAAATTTATGTACCAGAATTTTTTGGGAATTTTTTGACAACTTTTTCAAAACCAAAATTTTTCAAATGAAAATAAAAATTTCATCCAATTTTTGAAAATTTTCAGAATTTAACTAAAAACATTTTCTCATAGATTTCGACCTCCAGAACTTTGTTTAGACTTTATTTCTTCCATAACTCCTACCATTTTTCCAAACTCGCCCACTGAATCATTATTATTGCAATTTTTGGATTAAAAAAAATATATTTTCAAAACGAATATTTTTTAATCTTGCACCGGAATCATAAAAACACTATATTTTTAGAGTTAGCACGATGAAATTCGTATACTAGAATTTTTTGGAAATTTATTGCCAACTTTTTCAAAAACAAAATTTTTCAAAAACAAAATTTTTCAAAAACAAAATTTTTCAAAATGAAAATTTCGATAAATTTTTGATAATTTTCGAAATTTGACCAAAGACGTTTTGTTATCGATTTCGACCTCCAGAAGTTAGTTTAAACCCCATTTCTTCGATAACCCCTACCATTTTTTCAGAATCTCCCACTGAATTATTACAATTTTTTTAATTAAAAAAATATATATTTTTCAACCAAATATTTCCACTATGTTTTTGGAACAAGTACGACGAAATCTATGTACCAGAATTTTTTGGGAATTTTTTGACAACTTTTTCAAAACCCAAATGTTTCAAATGAAAATAAAAATTTCATCCAATTTTTGAAAATTTTCAGAATTTAACTAAGAACATTTTCTCATAGATTTCGACCTCCAGAAGATACTTTACACTTTATTTCCTCTATAGCTCTTACCATTTTTCCAAACTCGCCCACTGATTATTATTGCAATTTTTGGATTAAAAAAATATATTTTCAAAACGAATGTTTT